TTGAATCGAATCTGAATAACACATAATCAGTGTCTAAAGGATGAGAATAATTGAATGTTATTTAGAATCATTCGAGAATAGTTCGCGAAAAGGTCGGTCCGAGTCGCCGCCCTGCCTGAGATTGACCCTGACCCGAGATTTTTCATCGGCCCGTATCATTATTGAGTACGTATATATATAATAACAACTAAGTTTGCTGAATTTCTTCAAAAGGTAGGAGGAATTGAAATATATATACATTTTTACAATGATATGATTTAGCTGAATTTCTTATTTTCGTTAGTAATACAAGTATAAAAAAGGAAATTTAGTATGCATTTGTGAGGAAACTTCTTTCGACGTAAAACAATTTTCTTATAATGAATGATAAAACGTTAAAAAAAACAAAGTAAAATGTTGAAATGGAAACCACAAACAAAAGGTATTGGGAAGTATAAATTTGTAGAATTATCCTTCTGTATTACAAATTACGCCAAAATATTGCATAATTGTTACAAGGTCTTCGGAGATAATACTTTTGTAAATATAAATGAATTTTGTATTGTATTCTTAACGATCATTTATATTTTAAAAAGCAAACAAATATTACATTATCGTGTAAACTCTCATGATCATAGATTTTTCTCTTGTTATTTTTTGTACATTATTACGTAAGCACAACGATCCCGAATCTGATATTCGAAACAGCTAACAATATAGGCATTATCATTATCAAGATTAATGCTCATATAGTTATTAAGTGATGAACAAAAATAAACTTTATTTTATTGGAATATATAATTAGTGAGTATGAAATAGAATAACCATATTAATTAATGCTTGAATTTGCCTTTGAATGTTACGCAGAATGAATTGAAATATATTTACATATTTAAACATTTTCTAGTGCATGAAAGTTGTTTCAAATATTATTTGTCGCATTTTCTTCCTTTGGGCAATCATTTAAAAGTTTGTATTACTCACGGATGCATCCAAACAAAAACTGAATAATGAAAAATGGGGTCTAAAGTTCTCCTGAAACGTTTGAATTCGCAAAATTCCGAATAATTCGAATATTCTAATTAATTTGAGTAACTTAATTTACATAAAATACTCCCTTTAGTATAGTGCCCGGTATAATTAAATATTTTTTATATCGACGGAATAGTTACTCCACAAAATGCAAATGAATTCGAATATTTAATGATCCAACATAGTAATTACAAATTAATTTCCCCTTAGTACAAGTTCTCCGAAAATAAAAATTTTTTTATAAAATTAGTGACTTCTCATGTTTTGAATGCACAAATCAAATATCTAATTTAAAAATGTCGAATAAAGAAATTACATTACCAAAAAACTTCGATCAAGATTCTAAAGACCAGGTCAATAATAATTTACAACAATTAAGTTTAAGTAATGATAAATCACAACGTTTTGTTGAGAGTCTTTGCAATATTTATGATGAAGGGGTTAGAAAAGGAAGAAGCTCGAATTCAATTCTAAATTCAATTGACAAATTCTTAATAAAAAACGCTTACAAACAAGAGGATGTAATAAACTTGTGTTTACACAATCAAACTAATGCAATTGTCCAATATATTCTTGCAAGTTTCTATCATTTTGGTAAATGGGTAGAAAAAGATAAATCTAAAGCATTTTTCTATTATAAACAATCTGCTGAATTAGGAAATCTTAAAGGAACATTCCAAGTTGGTTATTGTTACCAAAATGGAATTGGAATTGAAAAAAACGAAAATAATTCGTTTATTTATTATAAAAAATTATCAGATATGGATGATTATGAGGGGTTGCTTCAAGTTGGACATTGTTATAAAAATGGAATTGGGATTAAAAAAGATGAATACAAAGCATTTGAAATTTATAAAAAATTATCTGATGTAGGCCATGCCATCGGAACATATAATCTTGGTATTTGTTATCTTCATGGCATAGGAGTTAAAAAGGATGAACATCAAGCATTCATTTATTATCAAAAATCTTCTGAGATGGGGCATGCAGGTGGTACATATAATCTTGCCTATTGCTATAGAAATGGATTTGGGGTTAATAAAAATGAGTCTACGGCATTTGTTTATTATCAGAAATCTGCAAAAATGGGTTATGAAACTGGAATTTATAATACTGGTGATTGCTTTAAATATGGAATCGGCGTTGAAAAAGATGAGCATAAAGCATTTGAAAAGCTTGTCAACGAAGTGACAGAGCGATCATTATTGCGAGATCAGAGGACTCAGATCATGTGGAAGTTTATTGTTTAACCTTTTATGGAATAGTTGTAATTAGTTAATAGTTCGCTAGTTCTAAGCAGGTTTTTCGTGATGTAGTAGTCTGATTGCATATGACAATATTATGTTTATTAGTTTATGGTAAGTTATTGGTATCAAGTAAGGAGTATGGGTCTCCTATGTAGGCGTGAGTTGCCTTTGTCTAGTAAATGTTTATTTTAAGGTTTTGAGGGTTGTTAGTAGATTATCTTTCTTTTCGCTATCGCTCGCCTTGTGTTAAGGCTGGCTCTATCGTTTACTACTGTATCATCTAAACTATATATAAATTAATAAATAAATAAAATAATCTATTGTAAATAAAATTCAGTCTCATTTTCCTCTGCGATAATTTTTGGTATTCCCATATGTCGGGTATAAGCTGGTCTAAGTTGATGTTAAATGATTTAAAAGACTTGTGTATGTCATGCGGTTTATCTAGTGTAGGGAATAAAGAGGACCTTAGCGATAGGCTCCAGGCATTTTTCGGAAAGAATAAAGGAAAGGCTACAGACAAGAGTGGAGTAGGGGATGAAGATTTGGATGACATTATCAAAGTACCCAGAATTGATGCGGATGAAAGGGATTGGGATGATGGAGGGGATGCTGACCTTGAGGTGGATGACATGCGTGCATATTCACAGGAAGCAGACAATAGAATTAAAGATGAGTTAGCAGGTCATTCCTGAGGAAGACAGAAGGCAGAACAAATAACAGTTGATATGTTCCTGTCAGCGATGGGTAAAATTGAAATGAAGATGGAAAGAAATTTTTCTGCTCTTCATAGAGAAATAGAGGAGTGTGATTTGTTAGATGAAGCATGGCCCAAGGTTAGCTTGTCGAAGCCATGTGATCAACATGAGTATGATTTCTTGACGAAAATTGGCAAGCGTTTGGACAAAGCAATAAAAGTAGTACCAATGGCTAATAAAAAAGATTTTGATGGTATTAGAAATGAAATCGAAGCCCGGGCAGCTACACTAAGGTTAGCTGATAACAAGGGTTGGGGTACAGCATTACAGATAGTCGGGAGTAATGACAAAATGATGGAAAAATACAAAGATCATATTCCATTATTTAGCCAATCAGGTGTGGCCTCATGCTATTATAGCCAGAATAAGCCTAGTAAGTCATATAGGCATAAGAGGAAAAGATATTCTTCACCTTCGTCTGATTCAGAAAGAAATGAAAGTCATAAGGGTAAAAGGAGGTATGATGGAAGCTTTCAATCCTTTCGTAACAGAGGAGCCTTCAGGTTCCCAGATCGTAAAGGAGTCTTTAACTGCTTCAACTGTGGAGGCCTTGGTCACATCACTTCCAGCTGCCCTTCCACAGGTTCTAGAGTTACCACCAAGCCAAAGAATGGAGACTGACTACACTCGGACCCTATTTGTAGAAGACTGTCTAGTGTTGGGTCTGAGAAAGTCAGAAAGTCAGATATCAGTGGTGGGAAGGATGCAGTCAGCAGAAGCATTGAATTATTGGCAAGACAAAATAAGGCCATCACCAGTAGTAATAAGTTGGTTAAAGAATGGGGTTCTATTGTTTCCAAGAGGAGTTCTTTTACTTGTAGCACAACAAACTCCAAAACAGTACACATTTTCAAAAGACCAAGAGGAATGGGTGCAAAGAGAGTTGGATCGGTTGTTAGCATCCTCAGCAATAAGAACATTAGGAAATCAAGTGGAAAGACCTACGTTTCTTCTGGAAGTGAGTCTGGTCTTTTTGGTGCCAAAAAAGGGGCCCAAAAAATAGAGGATGGTCATAGACTTAAGGCGTCTGAACACCACCTTACCCAAAAAGAAAGTGAAGTTGGAGGGTCTTGGAGGTCTTCTGCACACAATAGGTATAGGCTGGTATGTGATTACATGGGACATGATGGATGGTTACCATCATGTGATGATGGAAGAAAGTGCATAACGGTTTCTTGGGTTCCAAATATTAGGAAGCTGGTATTATTACAAAGTTCTCCCTTTTGGTTTGTCACAAGCCATATGGATTTTCTCCAAGATAATGCGAGTGATTGTAGAACATTGGAGATCACTAGGGCTGTTCTGTGGAAATTATTTAGACGATTTTTGGGTTGCGCATCCTTCGTTAGATACCTTGATAATGATAAGAGATCAGGTGATAGAGAAAGACCTAAAAAGATGTGGGTTGGTAAGAGAAGTATCAAAAGGGCAGTGGGAACTATCACAGCAGATAAAATTTTTTGGATTAATAATCGATACTGTGAAAGCACAAGTAATAGTTCCAGATACAAAAATCTTAGAAATAAGGGTATTGATGTCAGAGCTTATAAAGAAAGAAAAGATATCAGCATGCAACTTGGTAGCAATAGCAGGAAAAATACAGTCTTTAAGCAGAGCCTTTGCTCATGCCAAGGTTTGATGTCTGGAGTTTTACACAATAATAGATGCAGCAAACAGAAGTTGTTGGCAATGGGATTCATTAGTGGAGTTGACAAAGCAAGCAAAAGAGGATGCCAGTTGGGTGGTCCAAAATTTAAGAAACAGAATGGTCATCCTGCTTGGAAATCATCAAAAGTAAAACAGATCTTCATAGATGCATCAACAATCGGATGGTCTGCAGTTTTCAGAGACCATCATGCATTTGGGAATTGGAGTTCAAAAAGATTACACAGGGAGATCACAAGGCTAGAGGCAGAGGCAGTAATTCTGGGAATAAGGTCCTTCGCAAAAATGCTTCAACATTCTTGGATCGATCTGCACATAGACAATCGAGGAGCAATAGGAACAGTTTTAAAAGGGAAAAGTTTACCTTGGCAAAAGGATTTACTAAGAAGATTGTAGGAGTTATTGGATGAGTTCGACATTTGGATCAGCAAGGTCTTTTGGGTGCCCTCAAAGTTAAACCCGCAGACTTCCTAACCAGATTTGTAGACCCAAATGATTGGTGTCTAAATCAGTTAGTTTTTATAATGTTGGAAAACAGATGGGGTCCACATACTATCGATCGAATGGCAAACAATCGGAACACCAAAATGAAGTGTTTCAACAGCAGGTTTTATTGCCCAAACTCAGAGGGAGTAAACTGCTTTACTCAGAGCTGGGCCAGAGAAAACAATTATGTTTGCCCTCCACTAGCTTTAATACATCGTGTCCTTCAATACATAAGAGAAGAAAGGGCTGTAGCAACTATAATCGTTCCAAAATGAGTGTCAGCAGAGTGGTGACCAATGTTAATGTATATGACAATAGATATGTTGTTCCTGCCTCCAGTTCAAGTTTCATTTAGTAAAGGGGTTTCAGGTGAAGTGGAACCATGGAGAAACCTGAATTGGCAGTTTGTGGCAGCAAGAATAGGTTAGTAAAAATTCTGTTAACTAAAGCACAGGCTTTGAGTAGAAAAGCAGTATCAGATAGTTGGAATAAGCAGCTAGACAAAGCATGGGATGTGTATAGAGATTTTTATGAAGTCATGAATTTGAAAGCACTTCCATCTGAAGTAGATACATTAGTATCTTTCATTGTTTGGTTAGACTTAACCCAGTCAATTTCAGTTTGTATAGATGTTCTAGCAGCAGTTTCAAGAGCGCATCTTGAGGTTCAGCTTACAGATCCCTCTAAGGAATATAAAGTTAAGAGAGTTTATAGGACACTGTTAAAGGATTATAGAAAGGCTAAAGATCCAAACTGGCCACGTGATCCTTTAACAGTAACTGCTTTAAAAAATTTTGTTGACAAGAAACCATAGCTAATCAGTGATGATTTTTGGATATGTGATGCTGCATTGATAGCTGTTGGCTTGAGAACTATGTGTCGTCCTGGTGAACTTTGTAATCTAAAGCTTAAAGATATTAAGTTTGGAGAAAAACTGTTTTGGGTTCGCATAAGTTCATCCAAGACAGATCAATTTGTCAATGGAAAATTTATTCCTATAGAATATTTGAATAGTAAATATTGTCCAGTCAGGCTATTAAGAAGATACTTGGCAATTAGACCAAATACACCAGATGATGGGCCACTTTTTCTATCTAGAAGCAAGGCACAGTTGTCAGTAGGGGCAGTAGGTGCCATTGTTAAGAGAATCGCAAAAAATGCAGGCCTTCAAGGTAGGTTCACTGCTCATAGCATTAGAATAGGGGGTGCAACAGCAGCAATGGAGGCTGGTATGTCATTGGCACAAATTCGAGCCATAGGAGGATGGGACAGTAAATCAGTTATGCTATATCTAAGGACTGTAGGCACAGCAAACTTAATGTTTTCAAAGAAAATGAGGTTTTAATATTATCGATCCTCTTTTAGTCCCCATATGTTTTTTCATCTATTTAGTAATAAAAATAAGTCTCTGATCGAGCAATAATAATGAAAAGCTTGTCAACGAAGTGACAAAGCGATCATTATTGCGAGATCAGAGGACTCAGATCATGTGGAAGTTTATTGTTTAACCTTTTATGGAATAGTTGTAATTAGTTAATAGTTCGCTAGTTCTAAGCAGGTTTTTCGTGATGTAGTAGTCTGATTGCATATGACAATATTATGTTTATTAGTTTATGGTAAGTTATTGGTATCAAGTAAGGAGTATGGGTCTCCTATGTAGGCGTGAGTTGCCTTTGTCTAGTAAATGTTTATTTTAAGGTTTTGAGGGTTGTTAGTAGATTATCTTTCTTTTCGCTATCGCTCGCCTTGTGTTAAGGCTGGCTCTATCCCCCCCTGTTTTTCCCTCCCTAATGTCATTTCTGTTCGTTCTTGTTCTGTTAACACTTGCTTAAATTTTTGGCTAGTAAGCCCTGTATTGGTAGAGAGAGGCTCCACGGCTGTTCATACAGTGCAAGGACCTCTTAGTTAGGCTCTGCGGCTGCTTCAGCAGTGCAAAGACCTCTTAGTTAGGCTCCACGGCTGCTTCGGCAGTGCAAGGACCTATTGGTTAGGCTCCATGACTGCTTTGACAGTGTAAGGACCTTATAATCGAGCTCCACAGTGGCATTAGCAGTGCAATACTTTATATTTGAGCTCCACAGCTGCATTGGCAGTTCAAGGACCTGTACAGTACATATTTAGAACGTTTGAAATACTCGATTCTCTTTTTTACTATAAAGGCTTATGATAGTTACAGGCTTATACGTTTAGATTTTATAATTTATGTCTAAGGTAGTGGCTTGAGATTACATGTTTCCTTAGTAGATTAAATAGTACAGTAGTGCCTTGGGATGACAGACACGTTTAGATTTTATTTTATTTTCTGAATGACCAGCGTAGCGAGTTTGTGGTTACGCATTTTCTTAGTCCAATTATATGATACAGTAGGGTTTTGAGATAGCGGACCTATTCCCCATATGTTTTTTCATCTATTTAGTAATAAAAATAAGTCTCTGATCGAGCAATAATAATATTTATTTTGAAAAAGCTGCCAATAGGGGACATGCAGGTGGATTAAATAGTCTTGGTGATTATTATCGATATGGAATTGAAAGGAATGAGCATAATGCATTTATTTGTTATAAAAAAGCAGCTGATATGGGTCATGCCGGTGGATTAAATAACCTTGGTCATTGTTATCGATATGGAATTGGGGTTGAAAAGGATAATCACAAAGCCTTTAATTGTCATCAAGAATCCGCTGTAAGAGGATGTATCAATGGAATATATAATCTTGGTTATTGTTTTCAAAATGGGATTGGTGTTGAAAAAGATGATCACAAAGCATTTATTAATTATCAAAAATCCGCCGATATGATGCATGTTGGTGGAATATTTCAAGTTGGTCATTGCTATGAACATGGAATTGGTGTAAAAAAGGACGAAAATAAGGCATTCAATTATTATCAAACATCTGCTAATATGGAGAATTTAAGTGGAGTATTCCAAGTTGGTTATTGTTATCACAATGGAATTGGTGTCGAAAAAGATGAACACAAAGCATTTGATTATTATAACAAATCTTCTGAGATGGAATATTCTGAAGGAATATTTCAAGTTGGTTATTGTTATGAAAATGGAATTGGTGTTGAAAAGAACAACAATAAAGCGTTTTTTCATTATAAAAAGTCTGCTGAGATGGGACATGCAGGTGGAATTGTCCGAGTTGGTCATTGTCATCAAAACGGAATTGGGACTAAAAAGGATGAGGATAAAGCATTCAAATATTATCAAAAACAAGCCGATATGGGAGATATTAATGGAATATTTCAAGTTGGTATCTGTCATCAGAATGGAATTGGTGTTAAAAAAGACGAACACAAAGCATTCTTATATTATAAACAATCTGCTGATTTAGGAAGCATTGATGGAATATCTCAAGTTATTCATCGTTATAAATATGGAATTGGTGTTAAAAAAGATGAGAAAGAAGCATCTATATATTATAAAAGGCTATTTGCTACAGAGCAGGTTAATGATCCTAGTCATTGCTGCCAATATGGTGTTGAAAAGGATTCATATAAAGCATTTACTCATAATGATAAAGTAGATTCAGAAGATGTTGATGAATTAAATAGCTTCGGTAATTGTTATCGATACGGCATTGAAAAAGATGGACATAAAGCATTTAAGTATTATAGCAAAGCATCTGAAAAAGGACATTCTGGTGGAGTCAATAATCTTGGTCATTGTTATAGATATGGAATTGGTGTTAAAAAGAATTATAATAAAGCATTTGCTTATTATAAAAAAGCAGCCGAGATGGGGCATGTTAACGGAATATATAATCTTGCTGATTGTTATCGAAATGGGATAGGAGTGACAAGAGACTTGGAAAAAGCTAACGAATGGCATCATAAGTGAGTAATTGAATTTTTATCGCGTTTAATTTGAATTATCATTTACTAACAATAACCAAATAATCTGATATAGAAACACATTATCAGGTAATTAAATTGGTTTATTTGATAAATTCACGAATGCAAGTCTAATAAATTATTTTTAGGTACAAATAATTGGGGATACCAAAATTTTAACATTGATGACGATATAAAAAAAATACTAAACGAAAATAGACAGTTGCAATGGATCCCTTACAATAAATTTAAAAATATCAAAGAGATAGGAAGTGGTGGTTCTGCAACTGTTTTCCATGCCCAATGGGAAGATAAAAAGATGAAAAGATTTGTGGCACTTAAGAAGCTTAATGAATCAGTGCATCGAGAGGAATTTATTAACGAGGTAAATTCGTATAAAACTAACATATCATAATTACGATATTTAACCTTTTTTTAAAAAAAGTTAAAAGCATATTGCATTTGCCAAGAAGACCCTACCTTCTTGAAATGTTTTGGTGTATCAAAAGATGACGACGCTAAATGTTATGTTCTTGTTATGAGATATGAAAGATTGGGTCCTTTGTGTAAAAATCTTCGAGCTGTAGCACACATGCGGTGGGAAAAAAAATTGATTCTTTTGCATTGTATAGCTTCAGATCTTAAAATAATTCATTCTCAAGGTCTTATTCATCGAGATTTACATAGTGGTAATATTTTACAGAATAAAATACATAGTGCTTACATTGCAGATTTGGGAAAATCAATGCCAGCTGATACGCCATTAAAAACCAAATCTGGTAAATTGGATGGAATATTACCATATATTGCCCCAGAAGTTTTGAAAGGAGAGCCACATACTATGGCGTCCGATGTTTACTCGCTTAGCATAATTATGTGGGAAATTTTACATGGAAAATCAATAACTACGGTTGAAGATTATAAACATGCCAACAATACTAAATCGGAATCAGACCTTGTTAGGAAAATTGTTTATGAAGAATTAAGACCAAATATTCCAGAATCTCAATATACAAATTTTATGAAAAGATGTTGGGAAAAAGAACCAGAAGATCGACCATCAGCAGATGAAATCTGTGAAACATTTAAAAAATGGCAAAATGATAGAGAATTTTTATTAGAACTTTCTAAAATAAATGTTCAAATAAGACCAATAAGACAAAATATTGACCATGAAATTTTTGAATATTCTGACAATATTATAAAACAAGGTACTTGTTTAATTTTGTAAGAAATTCTAAAAAAATTATATTGTAGCTAATAATTTTTTAATATTTTATTTTAAGCCGTGAATAATGAAGGTAAATAATATTTTTTGAAAGTCTTGATATAAATACGTATTATTGACTTGTCTAATTTTAAACATATATAGATTATACTACAGAAGAATATAAATTAAATATACTTGAAGACGAGTAAATTTAGTTATTGCCCAGGTGAAATCTCATCCTTTAAATTACTAGTTTACCTAATTTTTTACAAAATGTATGGTACGCGGTACATCATTTAATATAGTATATAAATAAAACTTTGAATTCGGGCAAAAGAAAGAATGAAGAGAATGAAACGTTTTGATCATTTTTCTATTCGCAATATACGTAAATAGTTAATAATGTTATTGTAAGGATGTCTTCTTGTTTGTAATGATTCAAAGATTCAATTATAAATTTTATAAAAATGTCATTTTTTTAATTGTAAAGATTTGATTTATAAAATCTAATACGTGATCTCGATATATTGAGTTAGAATTTGTATTTATATCCGTTGTTCCTTTAACCCATAATGGCTCGGTATTATTAGTGACACACTAAATTTGTGAATTTTTCCGAAACTACCATTACTTCAGGCTCACCATCGCTATGTACTAGAAATAGAAACTTACGCCCTGTGACTTGTTTATCTGAGAAATTGCCATAATAGGGAAATTGCACTTTTAAAAAAAACGGTTTAATTTTGATAGTCGATTTACTACCATAAC